TAGTGATTATTCTCCTAAGGTCAACCACTCTTTCTAATGCTTAGCAATTGTAAATAATGGTGTACTAAAACCAACTCTGTCGTTTATCTGGTTTTCCTAGTCTTCAAATTTCTGCAGACACAATTACTGAGGTGAATGTGTGAATAGTTAAAGGATCTTATTCCATCATCAGCTATTTTTCAGAAACCCTGGGCCAATTTGTGCTCCAAATGTCCATGTTTGAGGGCACATGTCATTGTACCTTCACCAACATGAGAACTGTATCTATATATTTTTAAGTATTTTAGGATTTGATGAAAATTCCATATAATCCTCATAATTGTGTTTACAGCTGTTTAATATCTCTTGGCAATATTATTTTACCATTGCTCTATTGTTTGATATTGAGGTTTCTTTTCCAAATATGTTGTGTTTTCTAGAATAGCAAATTATAGGAAAAAACAATAACTTTTCCAGACCATCTTCGTAACTTTTTTCCTTTGGATTCTTCTCTATTGTGCTAAAGGTCAGAGATGGGTGATGGGGGTGGGTGTTTTAAATATACATAGAGTATAAGAGACCACCTCGTAGTGTGATGAGAGACAAGTCACCTTCCTTGAGGTGTGGTTGGATGGATGGGTGTGTGTGTGTTAGAGAAAGACGGGACGAACTCACTGGCCTCTAACACCCCACCGCCTTGTCATTTTATTTTATTTATTTGAAAGAGTTGGGGGGGGGGAAGAGGGGGGAGAGGAGGGAGGGAGGGAGGGAGAGAGAGAGAGAGAAAGGTCTTCCATCTGCTGGTTCACTCCCCAGATGGCTGCAATGGCCAGAGCTGAGCCGAGCTGAAGCCAGGAGCCAGGAGCTTCTTCCAGGTCTCCCACGTGGGTGCAGGGGCCCAAGCACTTGGCCCGTCCTCTGCGCCTTCTCAGGTACATCAGCAGGGAGCTGGATCGGAAGTGGAGCAGCTGGGACTAAAACCAGCACCCGTATGGGATGCCCCCACTGCAGGCCAGGGCTTTAACCTGCCATGCCACAGCAACCTCCTCCCCCTTTTAAACATTTATTTATTTGAAAGGCAGAATAGCAGTGACCGAGAGGGAGAGAGCTTCCATCTGCCAGTTCACTCCCAAATGGCTGCGGCAGCCAAGGCTGGGGCAGCTGCAGCCAGGAGCCGGGGACTCGATCTGGGTCCCCTGCATGGGCGGCAGGAGCTCAAGCCCTCGGGCCATCTTCTGCCTCCCAGCATGTTAGCAGGAACCTGAATCAGATGCGGAGTAGCCGGGCTCTACACGGACACCTGACATGGGACGCTGGCATTGACATTTGTGGCTTAACCCGCCGGACACAACACCGGCCGCTGAGGTCCTTTGAACTCCGATTCCTTAACTCCCTGCTGTCCTGCTACCCCAGGCAGCCTCCTGAGAACAGAGGCAGAGATCCCAGCCCAGAGAGAGGCAGCTTCTTCTGGTCTTTGATCTGAAGTGAGGTGGGCCGAGCCACATTGTCTCCTGGGTCTCCACGGAAACCCCCAGATGCAGGGAGAAACCTGATGCTCCGACAGTGCGTGTTCAGCTAAACATATCTGGGTGAACATTGTCACACCAGACCATCTGTGAGTTCTTATTTGCCTGACATACAAATTGCTGCCCTCGCACAGGTCGGGCAGGCCCCCCCACCTGTCCCCACACCTGGGTTTTCCCAGCGAATCCCCTCAGGACGTTGGGCGCTCTGCTGCCCGCCGTGTGGCCCCCACCCAGAGCGCCAAGCAGCCGTCTGCCGCTGAAGATACTGAAGGACCGTGGCAGGCTCTGTCTTCCTCCCGGACCGCGCGTTGCGTCTGCAGGTGACGCTACCACGTGAAAAGTCACCGGAAGTTGTGAAAGCCCTGCCCACCCAGCAGGCACCGCCGAGCGTCTCGTAGAATAGAACAGGCGCTCCCGGCACCGCACGCCGCCGAGAGGCGCGCGCGCACCTTGTGCTGGCCAGCGGCGGGCCGGCCCTTGTTCCTTGTCACTTCCGGCACTGATGGTGGCACCCGTGTTCCCCTCTGCTCTCCGAAATTCCTGTCGCTGAGCCCTCGTGAAAGCACAACTCCTTTTCTCATCTCTCCCGAGCCTGGCACGACCCCGACGTAGCTGGAGGTGAAGCGTCTACCCTGCAGCCAGGAATAGAGCAGCAGAGGAGTGCATTTTATTTTTAAATTCAGCTCAAATGCAGACTGCCTCGAATTTTATTTATAGCCATCTCTTGAAGTCACACTGAAAGAAAAACTCTACATCTGCTGCCGATCAGTAGCAGCGCTGTCTCAGTCCACAAGGAAGCAGAGTCGGGACGTGGACTGCCTCTCACAGCAGGGCCCCGGGCACATCCTCTCGGGCGAAGCTCGGCTGTGAATGACGTCTGTCCTGGACCCAGAGATAGAGACCAGGAAAAATCAATGTCATGGGCAATTGCATGAAATACCCAATGCTTTAAAAGCCGGCTATCCCATCCTCGATCAAGGGTGATTCCTGGGACCCAGTGCCACTGCATCTGGGGAAGTGGGGTCACGGCCCTCGGAGGGAACACGTGCAGGCGTTTGTCCCAGTGTGAGGTGGAAGCGAGGCTTGGAGACATCCGGTTCCCTCCCAGGGAGCGGAGAAGTGACCTGAGACTGAGGCTGCGGCCAGGAGCCCTGCACGCTGTGTGCAGCAGGTAAGTGGGTCTCAGAGGCATCACCACGGAGCGAGCAGGCCTGATGCTGTCTGCTGTGTGTGCTGCAGACACAGGAGCTCCACGACGCCACATCACATACGAGCCCCTGCACGGCAGCAGGATGACAGGGACGCATAAAGTGGAATGGAGAGCGAAACTGGGGGACGGAGGGACCCCGCAGGGACTGTGATGGCCCTGTGACGTGAACTGAGCTCGACCCTCTGTGGAGATGTCTGGAGAACTGGGCCTCGGGCAGCTAAAGGCTACGAACGAGGAAAAGGGCAGGTGCAGCAGGCAAAGCCACTGCCCGCCATGCCGGCATCTCATATGGGCGCTGGTTCTAATCCCAGCTGCTCCTCTTCTGATCCAGCTCTCTGCTGTGGCCTGGGGAAGCAGCAGAAGATGGCCCAAGTCCTTGGGCCCCTGCACCCACGTGGGAGACCTGGAAGAAGCTCCTGGCTTCAGATCAGCGCAGCTCTGGCCATTGAGGCCGTTTGGGGAGTGAACCAGCAGATGGAAGACCTCTCTCTCTCTCTCTGTAACTCTTTCAAATAAATAAAAATAAATCTTATAAAAAAAAAAAAAAAAGGAGGAGGACAGGCCTACCACTGGTGGTGTGTTGGGCACATTCTCAGATTGAGTGTGGTTCTCTTAGTACGTGAGTCACTTGCGATGATCTTGGTGATCGTCCTAAGTGATCCTGAGAACACACTGGATAAGTGAGTAGACAGTACCACTGGGTGCTGGTGCCTGAGACACACACGCTGCCTGTCACTGGCCTCTTGTTGAAGATTTGGGATTCAGGAACGTTTACCTTCATGTCTGAAGTGCCGCCGTCACTTTCACGGAGTGAGTACTAGGGCTCCCCAGCCGGGTTTAAGTCAGCTTTTTAAAGGCACTGTGTTTTTTCAAACGGTCTGTGTTCCCAGCACCGGGGAGCAGAGAGTGCGGGTCACTCCCGTGTGCCCTCTGCCCTGCTCTCCCGCGTCCCCTGACCGCCGTCTGCCGGCAGAGCATGTGTCTCGGCACCCCTGGGTTGGACGTGTGATCTGTGGATTGGGACAGGACTCTGATGACAGCGCCCGTCCTGACGGGGGCCTGCAGAGCAGCGTCAGTGCCCCGCGGGGAAGGTGCTGCCCCCTCTCCCCCTGCTCTGCCCCGACTCCTGGCGACGGCCGGTGTCCCTGCTGCCCACACTCTATGCCTTCCGAGGACGTCGGGGTGGCCGGGGTCCATGGCACACAGCCTCTGCAGACCGTCCTCTTTCACCTGGTCACACGCGGTGAAGTTTCTGCCGTCTCTTTCCATGGCTTGATAGCTTAGAAATCAGTTTTCAAAGGAACATTTCATTCGCGCATCTCCAGTGTGCAGTTTATTCCCTGTCCTCGTGTGTCGCTTGTAACGGTGCAAAACTTGGGAAAGAAGACACTTGCTCAACCAATGAAAACAGGTATTTCCTTTTTACAACAGTTTCGGCTTTTATTTCTTTTTTAAAAAGATTTATTTATTGGAAAGGCAGAAGAATTACAAACAGGCGGAAGCTGGAGCTGAGCCAGGAGCCAGGAGCTCCCTCTAGGTCTCCCAGGTGGGTGCAGGGCCCAAGCACACGGGCCATCTGCTGCTGCTTTCCCGGTGCAGTAGCAGGGAGCTGGATCGGAGTGGAGCAGCCGGGACTCGCCCTGGTGCTCTGCTATGGGAGCCGGTGCTGGCGCTGCCGCCCTCCTCAGAGCCCAGGCCAACAGGGCCGCCTGATTTTGAACTTGAGTGAGGAGGGGTTGGAGGTCAGGAGGCTCTCTGCGGGCTACTAAACCTCTTCTCTTTGTGAAATTCGTTTGCTGAGGTATCTTGTGGTGGTGGTGGAAGCCGACAAATCCAGGAGCCTGTTGGGGGGTGCAGGCCGCTGCCGCCTCCACCACCACAAGTGCTCGCATCTCATGCTCACCCGCAGCCTGCACCCCCCAGCAGCACCACCGGCCCCCCAAACCCTCTGGTCACCCCGCATTGCCACTGGAGTTGGGCAGGGGTGGACTGGCCACTGGGCACCGGAGCGCCAGTCTGTAGGGAGTGACAGGGAGTGAAGTGAGTTCAGGGAGCCCCAGAGTACGGCTGGGACGAGGTGCTGGGGCGTGTGGTGTGTGTGCATATGTGTCTCTGTGTGTGTGCACATGTGTGCAGTATGGGTTTATCAGAGCATGGCCAGGACGAGGTGCTGGTGTGTGGGTGTGTGTGCATATGTGTGTGTGCGTGTGTGTGTGCACATGTGTGCAGTATGGATTGATCAGAGCATGGCCAGGACGAGGTGCTGGTGTGTGGGTGTGTGTGCATGTGTCTGTGTGTGTGCACATGTGTGTGTGCATTGCACCGTGTGCAGTATGGGTTTATCAGAGCATGGCCAGGACAAGGTGCTGAGTTGTATATGAGTGTGTGTGCTTGTGTGTGCAGTGTGGATTTATCAGGGCATGGCCAGGATGAAGTGCTAAGTTGTATGTGAGTGTGTGTGTATGTGTGTGCTTGTGTGTGCACGCACAGCCCCGTGTGCAGTGTGGATTTTTCAGAGGGGCTTACTAAAGGGTGCTTCCTGCTGGCCCGGGACTCACATGGGAGGCCTGAGGCCCCCCCCCCGCTGAGTCCCTCCCCCGTCCCCCAGCCCCCCCACGCTTCATGTGGCCCTGGGGCCAGCATCCTTCGCCTCCAGACACATCTCCCTGGGCAGGGTCCCCGCCCCCTGGTCGTCCCCAGGATGTGGCCTTGAGCTGTTCCCGACTGCCTTACTGTCCGTCCACTCCTTGTGCGGGGAGCAGAGGGGATGAAACCATTTGTGCAGTGGTCAGTAGCTGGGGTGGCCCCAGGCGAAGGCCTGTGGGAGCAGAGTCTCAGAGAACCGTGAGCACAGGCCGCTGAGGAGGGGGTGTCTGTCTGCCTGTCTGTGTGTCCTCTGCTCACCGGGGTCGGGGAGGCCACTCGCCGTCAACCAAACGATCCGTCAGGCGTGCTGGGCTGGGGAGGAGGAGGATGAGCAAAGGCAGATCCAGGGTGATGGGACCGGAAGTGTGCAGTTGGAGGCCCCCGGACAAACCACAGGCAGAGAACTGAGTCGGGAGTCCAGCAGCAGGGGGCGCAGAGGGCTCCTGAGTCGGGAGTCCAGCAGCAGAGGGCGCAGAGGGCTCTTGCAAAGCGGGGCCCCAGGTGAGGCTCTCAGGAAGGGTCTGTTCCGGTTGTAGGCACAGCGGGAGGAAGGCAGGGGGGAGAGAAGGGGCCTGGCGCGTGCCGGGAGTGGAAGTGACCAGCACCGGCTCACCGGAAGGGTGTGCGAGAGGACAGGCGAGGGGAGTGCCCGGGCTGCATGGGGCTCGCACCGTGTTCCACCTGTCAGGAGGCAGCCACAGGGCCAGCCCAGGCGGGCGGCTCAGCAACACCACTCTGGAAGCGACGCGGAGGCCGGGCTGGGGCAGGCGCGGGTGCGTGACTCCAACCGTCTGGAGAAGAACAGGTGTCCTGAGTGTGGAGGGGTGGTTTATACGTCACGACCTGCTGGGAGCAGGAGCCGGCAGGCGTGGAGGCCAGAATCAGACATCCCCGGGCGAGGGCCAGGCCGCGAAGGAGGTGCTGGCGGCAGGGGAGGAGTCAGGCCGCGTGGGGCAGTGACGGGGAGGGAGCGAGAGCGAGAGCAGGACTGGATTAGGAAGGGAGTCGCTCACGTTCGGAACTGCCGGAGCGAGGGACGGGAGGGGACCCCCTGTCTGGACAGAAGGTTGTGAGTTCGGTTTCAAGTGTGTTGAGGGAAAGACCAGGCTGTTTCTTGTGCAGTGGGAACTGTTCTCGCAGCGACGGCCCCCCGAGGGGTTTCTCAGGGCAGGGGGGACCCAGGCGCGCCTGGGCCCCGGCTGCAGGCAGCACGGGCGTGGCCTCCCGGGCCCCCTTTCAGAAGCAGCTGAAGGAGCAGGAGCCGGCTGCCACCCCACCCTCCCGCGACCCACAGTGGGGCCGTGGCCACCCTGGGCTTGGGTTCTGTGTCACGCCCGCAAGTCCTTGGGTTCCTCCGGAGTGAGCTTCATCAGTTTGCCCACGCAGAGCAGGATGAGCGTGAGGAACCACAGGCTCCAGCCGACGGCAGCCGCGACCCAGCCGTACTCGTCCACTCCGGCGCGACAGCAGCGGGCTGCCTGCGGGCAGAAGTCCACGCCTGGCGGGGAGGAGAGCGAGAGCGACAGGAGGCGTCACGCCGGCGCTGCCGGGGTCGCCCTGGAGCAGGGGACACTGTTAGTAATGAGGGCGCAGGTGCTGCCCCCCAGGGGCGCTGACCGGAGCTACCGTGTTTACCCCTCACAAAGCGCAGCCACATTTATTCGCGCTCCATGTGGAGAACAGAGGCTGTCGCCTGCCTGCAAGGGCCCGTCCCTGCGTCAGTGGCCAAGCATGCCCTGGGTTCCAACAGCTGTCGAGGCTTGGAGGTGAACGGCCGTGAAATCAGCTGGTCCTGCTTCCCCCAGTGCCGGAGCGGGGTCCCCACCCTCTTTCCCCACCTCTGCTCTCCAGCTGAAGGCGTCCAGTGGCTCAGACGTTCATAAAGCACCTGCTGTTATGCGTGTCTGAGGCCTCCAGGTGGCAGAAGTAGAGCCCAAACCCAGGTCTGTGGGACTGCAGAGCTGTAATCTAACCTCTACCTGGTGTCGCCACTGGCCGGTCCGTGAGGGCAGGCCAGAGGAAGCCAGGCTACGTGAAACTTTCTATTAACTGGGCTTGCAAGGGGCCAGCACTGTGGCACAGCAGGCTCAGCTGCTGCCGATGACGCCAGCATCCTGTATGTGAGCTGACTCGAGTTCCAGCTGTCCCACCTCCGATCCAGCTCCCTGCTAATGGCCTGCGAAAGCGGCAGAACATGCCCCAGGTGCCTGGGCCTCTGCCCTCACATGGGAGGCCTGGATGGAGCTCCTGGCTCCTCGCTTCTGCCTGACCCAACCCTGGTTGTAGTCATTTGGAGAGTGAACCAGCGGTCACCTGACACCCATCAGCAGAAAGCAAGGAGGCGTGCGTTCCCGGGCCAGCTCCCGGCCAGCTGTGGGGCAAGGGCGGGGACGGGAGAGGCTTACTGGGGCACTGCTCCAGGGAGTCGGGGTCTGGGTCCTGGGTGGTCCAGGCTGAGCTGTTGCCGCCGCTTGCCTCTGGAAGAGAAGACAGGAGAATTGCAGGCAGTAGGCGAGGCCGTTCCCAGAGTCGGTGTAAAGTCCTGTTCGCGACGTCAGTAGTGAGCCTTGTGAACACGTGGGTTCTGGCGAGGCTTTAGGGAACAATGCTGGCTGCCGTCGAGGGCTGGGTCGTCTCCCTCTAGGCCCCAGTGTAGGTGTGTTTGGGGACAGGACTTTTAGAGCCGTTGCTAAGGTTACATGGGATTGTGTGGGCAGGCCCTAAGCAAATCTGTTTTCCTTCTAAGAGGTGGCACTGTCCATGCACTTGGTGCAGGACGGTGGGGAGGCAGCCACGGGAGAGAGCAGGCCTGCTGACACCTTGACCTCGGCCCTGCGGCCTCCAGGTGGTAAGCAAGCGCCTTCCTGTTGACTTGGCCGGCCCAGCCGTGCTGTTCGTCGTGGCCGACTGAACAGAGGGGGACAAGCCCTGCCCCGTCACTCCACTATCCGTCTGTGATCAAGAGCCTGTGGCTTTCCAAACACGCCGTTTTAGCTTCCTTCTATACAGGCATAGCTATACGATGTCTGTAAAACAATCCCTGAAAAGTCTGACATGTTTTTCCTAACAGTCTTCGATTGCTTTGGAAAACTTGCACAAACACCCAGATCTGACCTTGTTTCTTTATTGCTGGTGGTGATGACGTTACCCAGGCAGGAGGTTACCAAACAAGTGAGACATCGTACAAGCAAGGCCGGCGACGGCTGGAATGTGCAGCCCCGAGAGCTGCCCCTGACTCAAAAGCAAGGATTCAAAGAGGATGAGCGATACTCCAAGCTCCACAGAGACGAGGCAGAAGCGGCAGGCCCGCCCCTGCCGCCTGGAGCCGCCTGGGGCAGTGCGTGTTATCTCAGACCGGTAGGGTGTGGGTTTGGTTCTCCTTTATCTGAAGGTGATCAAGCCCCTGCCTGGCCCACAGCAGTTTCAGGGGCCATGCCTGGCCTGGCCTGACCCACGGCTCATTATATGCTCTGACAACACGTGCTCACGATGCACCTGCCAGTCCCACGACGGGAAGCATCCTGGGTCGCAGGAGCTAAAGGGTGGCAGCTGGATTCCAGGAGGCCTCCACCTCCTTCCAGGAAATCTGTGAGTGTTTTCCTTGTGATTAGAGTGTACTCCCCTAAGAATTAAAACTCAGGTCAGAGATGAGGCCACTCCCCTCCAGGCAGGCCCCATCCTGTCTGTGGAGTGTGCCTTTGCTTTCTCAACAGTACACTTGCTGGTTGCTATTGCCTATTTGCCTGCTCACTCCTGAAGTCTTTCTTGACGTAAGTCAGGCACCACGGTCAGTGCAGGGGTGGGGTTGGGTTATGGAAGTGGCGTGAGGACCCTCGAAGAAAGGACACTGCCCGTGCAGATGGCCCACACGGTCCTCCACAGCAGCCGCTAGCCACCTGTGGCTCCGCATTTAAATTAAGTTTAGGAGGCCAGTGTTGTGTTCCAACAGGTGCTAGCATCCCACATGGGTACCTGTTGGAATCCTGGCTGTTCCACTTCTGATCCAGCTCTCTGCTGTGGCCTGGGAAAGCAGTGGAAGATGGCCCAAGTCCTTGGGCCCCTGCACCCACGTGGGAGACCTGGAAGAAGCTCCTGGCTCCTGGCTTTGGATCAGCTCAGCTCCAGCTGTTGCAGCCTTTTGGGGAGTGAATGTGAGCCATTGGATGGAAGAACTCTCTCCCCCCTCTCTGTGGCTCTGCCTCTCAAATAAATAAATACATATTTAAAAAACAATTAAGAAGTTCAGCTTCTTGGTCACATTAGCCACTTTCAAGTGCGCAGTGTCCACATGGCCAGTGACCCCGAGTTGCAACACAACACGGAGCTGGACCCTTGCTGCCACGCAAGAGGCGGATTAGCGCCAGTGCTAACCTTGGCAGATCACAACCAAGAGAATGACTTTGAAGAACATTCCAGAAAATGATGTGTCTGCTCGGTCTGCTTTGCAAATGCAAAAAAGAGAAAAAGTAACGCTTTGACAACTCAAGCCCACCGTGACCACCGCCGCCACCACCGTGGGTCAGTGTGACCTCCTGAGGTGCCTGTCGTCACAGAGGATTACAGGAAGCTTGTTCAGCCGGAGCCAGACTAATGTTATGCCGCTCAAGCCCTGGACCCCTCCGACGGCCTGCTGAAGTGTGGCAGTTACCTTCTGCGATCTGATTGGGGCTGTAAATTATTTACAACTAAATGGCTGAGGGCTAGGTCGTAATTTGTTTTGGAGAAATTGAGTCATCCACGTTTTAATTTTCTTTATAACTCAGTAACTTCCTTGGCCCTGACTCTCACCGGCTCTCTGTACTAGAGTAGAAGTGGGCCCCACCCAATGGAAAAACCCAGCTAATGGGGGCTGGTTTGGGGTCACATCTCAGGAAAATTGCCGTTTTTATAGGTCAAAAATTGTTCAGTATCGGCAGTTTTATACGGTTCAATGGATGGTAGCCCGGGTGGACGTTCACAAGAGTTTAAATGCCACCGTCTTCCCTTGCAAGCGCAGCGACCAGGCGCCGGCCCGATTCAGCACACTTCAGTCTGTCACTTTCATCAGCCCCTGTCATAAGCAAGGCACCGGGAAAGCAAACGGGGAGAGATGAAGCCATTGTCCTTGGGGAGAGCTGGAGTCGTAAGCCGAGCTCCGCTCCGCTCGCTCGCCCCGTGCACAGCCCTGTAACGCGCCACCGTGTTACCCCGTGTCGTGGACAGGAAACAGGGGCACAGAGCTGAAGCACTGGTCAGGCCACGCAGCTGGTGAACTGAGGGAGCTGCAGCGGGCTTGAGGCTTGGGGACCATGGGTGCCCACACTGCCCACCACACCAGCTGCCTGCCCATGGGCACAATGAGGATGACAGAGACAAACGGGCCTGGGGACAGTGGGCTGGCTTTGAGAGACAGGGAGTCTGGCAGGGGGCAGGGTGGCGGACTGGGGGAGCTAAGGGCAAAGCCGTTCCTGCACTGACAGGTGCAAGGCCCAGCCAGGGAAAGCGAGGCCTCGTAAGAGAACGGGGCAGTGACCCAGGGTTTCTGATGCCTGGGGTTTGGGAGGGGGTGCAGGATTCGTGAAGTAGCAGAGGAAGTACCAAGGTCAGGGGCAACAGATGACCTTGGGTAAGGGAGGCCCTGGGTGGCTGAGAGGGCACCCGGGGCAGCAGCCAGAGGATGGCTCGCTGGCCGGCGAGGCGGGCAGGCTGCATTTCCCTCTTTGCCCGTGATCAAGGCCAGTGGAGGTGGCTGTGCTGGCCCCAGCTGGGGAGTTGAGCATTTGATCTTGGTTTCAGCAAGCCTGAGACACCCCCAGCCCGTGCCTAATCCTTCAGACAAGAAAGTTCAGTTTCCTCCTTGCTTTGTTCAGGACCAACCCTGGCCAAGGAATCCTCACCCTCCTCCCCTCCCTCCCGCGGCCCCCTCCCTCCCCCTTCCCAGGAGGCCAAGAATAAAGCTCACAATTGTACCTGCCCAGGAGTGCAAGGAGGCGAAAGTCAGGCTGAGGAGCAGGACGGCAGCCCCGGGGGCAGAGGTGAGGCCCTGCGTGCTGCGGAGGGAGGCACGGGTCTGGGCCATCCCCGCAGCCGTGTGCCCAGCGCCGGGTGCCGGGTGTCTGTTGCCTGGGTGCTGGGGACTCCTGACTTTCAGGAGCTGGAGAACTGCTGCTCTGTGTTTGGGGGAATAGAGAGGGGGTGGAGCAAAAGGAGCGTGTGCACCTGTCACAGCTGCTCTCAGGTCGGTAGCAGGGAGGCGATGCTGGCTGGCGGAGGAGGGGCAGCTCCTGCCCTTCTTCCCTGAGCTCAGAATTCGCTCTTTGGAGGATAGGGAGGGCAGGAGAGGGACCTGGGTCCTGCCGGTCCTGTGGAGATGAGCTGGGTGCCTCTCTGTCTGCAGGTGTAGCATGCGTTCCCCATTCCCGTCAGTCTGGTGTTTACTGAGCCCCGATACTGTGCTGTTCAGAAGCCGGGAAAACCTGTGCCGGAAACGCTTTCATTAGGAACACGCATCAGCGCAACCCAGAGCGCGGTTTCAGACGTGGCTCGAGAGGAGCAGCGAGAGCTCGGGCGTTTCGCGGCTCAGCCTGGAAGGGCGTTGGAGCTTTGGCAGGTGCAGAGCAGCAGAGGGCATGCTGGGACACGGGGCAGGAGGTCACAGCCCGCGGAGGAACGGCACCCGAAGCTCCAGTGTGACCGCGGCACGGACGCGTGTGGCTCAGGCGCAGGGGCGAGGTGGGGGAGGAGACTGGAGGGCTGCCGAGAGCCCCAGCCCGGCCGGCGAGTCGCATGTGGAGTCGGGAAGCCGGGGCGGGGGGTGGGGTGGGGGGGGCTTGTGAAGCTGGGAGCTGCGCCCTCAGCCTAAAGTATCACAGTAGACACCTTGTCCCCAGGGCGGGGTGGGGGGTGCGTTCCCAGACCCTCCGTGCCTGCCCGGAGCCACAGAGAGTGCAGACCCTCCTGCACCATGGGGTTCCCTGCACACCCAAACTGGGGTGAAGCTGACTTATAAGTTAGGCACAGTCGGGGTTAACAGTGACTAATAGGACAGGTGCAGCAATATTCTGCATACAGTATTTTACATGTATGGGTTGTTCGTGCACATTTTTGTTTCGTGTTTTTGCACTGCAGTTGACTTCAGGTAAGCGAAATTGCAGAATAGAACCGTGGCTAACAGGGGGCTGTTGTGTATCTCCCCACACCTGCACAGGGGCCTCGTCCCGGGCTTTTGAGACTCCTGAGGAGAGCACAGCCCAGCAGGGCGGCCGACGCCGAAGGGAGAGTTTCATGCAATCTGGCAAGACTCGAATACGGTGTCTTCCACAGCCAAGAGGATCTATGGAAGAGGGAGGGAGTGTGCCTGTCTGCAGCTGCAGGGGAAGGGCTCGCGGTGCAAGGGGAGTGCCTGGGCTCTGTGAGGCAGGGAGAGCACACAGAGGTGAGGGCGTGCCTATGTGCGCGCATATGCGGCCTGCCAGGAGGGGTAGGGGCATGGTGGCCTGCCCAGGGACAGCCTGGCAGGAGACAGGGATGGAATCCAGCTCACTCAGGCTCTGTAGGACAAGGGGACGGGGACCCTGCATGTCCTAGGGCGGCGTAGCAGCCCAGAGGAGGACGTAGCACAACACATGGCTCTTCTCCTTTGTCCAGAGCCGCAAGTCGTGGTGGCCTCGAGTTCCTGCATTTGGGGATGGGGACAAAGGTGCTTCAAGCAGCGCACAGGTGCAGCTGTGTTCACCGCTGAACCCTGAACAGGCGCCAAGCGGCTGCGGCCCGCCAGGGCCTTGGTCAGAGCGAGCGAGGTAGCACGGTGCCAGCCCCAAGAAGCTCACGGTGCAGGAGGGGGATGGACAAGTGACAGTGAAATACGTGTGTTGGGGGGCATCACGGGAGAGGGACGGCCCCTAGGCTTGAGCGCCGATTTCACAATGGAGACGGTGTTTTCGATCCAGACTTGAAGGCTGTGTGGCTTGCCAGGCACGGGGAAAGCCAGCAGTGTGGCCAGGACCCCGGGCCCTAGTCTGGGGAGCGCCGGGAGGGGTCAGCTTGTGTCGGACTAAGAACAGATCAGGAATGGTGCTGGCAGAGAAAACAGGGCTCACGCTTCCAACTGGGCACTAAGAGGCCCTCACAGCTGGAGACACGTTTGGAGGGCAGATCTGAGGGGGACAGCCTGGATGCAGGGTCATCCCCAAGGCCACGGTCACTGACCTGCCCAAGAAGGTGGGCCAAGCATGGAGAGGAGGGGACCGAGCCAGGAGGTACGGGGGCTACATCAACAGGAGGGGACCCGGGAAGATGCATGTGTGGGAGGAGTGGGGCAAGCTTTCTCCCTGGGGAGAATGGGTGGCCCTGGGGCCGCCTGGGCTCACCTCCCAGGCCTGCCTCTCGCCGGCTGGGTGCCCTGGGCAGGTGGCCCGGTGCCTCCACGCTTCTGCCTCCCTCCTTACAGAAGCAGTGGGACGGGGTACGGATCTCGGGTGCTGCAGGGCGGCTGCCGGACGGGCTCGTGCACACTCTCGCGCAGGGCGCAGTGCAGGGCGCGCGTCCAGGGCGTGCTCCTGTCTGTTCTGTAGGAGAGGCAGCGCAAACTGCAAGGCCAGGGCAAGGGGGAGCTGGTTTCAGGGGAAAAGAATGCTGTTTATCTGTTGATTTTGTATCCTGCTGTGGTCCAACAGGGGTTTAGTTACGTATGGTTAATCGAGGTAGATAAAATGAGTTTTTAAGAAACATTTATTTATTTATTTATTTATTTCAGAGGCAGAGTTAGAGAGAGAAACAGAGGGAGAGAGGGAGAGAGGTCTTCCAACCTTCTGGCTCACCCCCCAAGTGGCTGCAACGGCTGGAGCTGAGCCAGTCTGAAGCCAGGAGCCAGGAGCTTCTTCCAGGTCTCCCACGTGGGTGCAGGGGCCCAAGGACTTGGGCCATCTTCTGCTGCTTTCCCAGGCCACAGCAGAGAGCTGGATAGGAAGAGGAGCAGCCGGGACTAGAACCGGTGCCCATATGGGATGCTGACGCCACAGGCGGAGGCTCAACCTCCTATGCCACAGCTTCGGCCCCTGATAAGTTTGAAATAAAAGAGAAGAGGGGCTGGCACTGCGGCACCATGGGTTAAGTGGGCACTGGTGACTCCAGCATCCCATACTGGGAGCCAGTTCGGGTTCCAGCTGCTCCTCTTCCCAGCCAGCTTCGTACTAATGTGCCTGGGAAGGCAGCAGAAAATGGCCCAAGTAGTTGGGCCCCACCCATGTGGGAGAGCTCATGGAGCGCCTGGCTTCAGCCTGGCTAGAGTCAGCTGTTGTGGCCATCTGGGGAGTGAACCAGGGCATGGAAGACCTCAGACACCTCTGTCTCTGTCTCTGTCTCTGTCTCTGTGTCATTTTGTCTTTCAAATAAATAAGTCTTTAAAAAAAGAAAGAAAGAAATGGGTCTGCCACTGTGGTGCAGTGAGTTAAGCCACAGCCTGCAGCACCAGCGTCCCACATGGGCGTCAGTTCGAGTCCCAGCAGCTCCATTTCTCATCCAGCTCTCTGCTGTGGCCTGGGAAGGCAGTGGAAGGTGGCCCAAGAGCTTGGGCCCCTGCACCCACGTGGGAGACCTGGAAGAAGCTCCTGGCTCCTGGCTTCAGCCCGGCGTAGTCATTGCAGCCATTTGGAGAGTGAACCAGCAGATGGAGCATCTCTGTCTCTCTCTCTCTCACTCTCACTCTCTCACTCTCACTCTCACTCACTCTCTCACTCTCTGCCTTTCAAATTAAATAAATAAATCTATGTTTAAAACCAAAGAAATGAGGTCCAGAGAATTTTCTGATGGGAAGCAGAAGATGGTTCTGTGACGCGTCGCCAGCACACGACGTCATGCGTGTTCTAAGTTTCTGGTGCCAGCGTTAAGAGGGTGACTTGATGACGAGTGTGCGGCCGGGCCCCCAGGGAAGTACAGCGCCCCTCGCTGCTGTGGAGTAAAAGCCCCAGGAGGCCTTTGTCTGGCCCTGGCCCAACACCAGCCTGAAAATCTAAATGGCGTCGCTTATACTACAGTCCCATGTCACCAGCCGGAAACTAAGTTGTCGTCTGACCTTCTGCGACCAGGGGAGAAAGGATAGCCACGTTCCCAAGCAGGCCAGTGTCAATGGCGTGATAATGAACTTCCTCTGTGTTCATCCTTCTCCGAAAACAGAACCTGAAGTAGCCGCTGTTTTCCTGTTGTTCCCTCCCCTGCCCCCACCTCCCAAGGGAAGTAACATATAGACCCACCTGTGTGTTCCGCGGCACTGATTCTGTTTGGTAGAATGGAGGTTGCTCAATTCTGGGGTGGCAAAAACAGCCAGTGAAGACAGTTCAGTTAGGTTGCTGAAGTTCCGTTCTGTGACAGCAGCGGAACCAGAGAGGGTTTTCCCTGCCCGCCAGGGAGGACCTTGAGTGAGCGCTGTTCTGTGTTCACCTCACTTCCCGGGCCAGCATGGGCTCAGCCAGCGGGCACAGAGATGACAGTGGGAGAGAAGTCCACCAGGCGCTCAAGGGTCTGTGTTCCCAGCAGAAACTGGGCAAAGCAAATAATTAGCTCATTCACTTACTTTTTTTTTTTTTTTTTTGACAGGCAGAGTTAGAGAGAAAGAGACAGAGAGAAAGGTCTTCCTTCCATTGGTTCACTCCCCAAATGGCCACCACAGCCAGCGCTGCGCTGATCCAAAGCCAGGAGCCAGGTGCTTCCTCCTGGTCTCCCATGCGGGTGCAGGGCCCAAGCACCTGGGCCATCCTCCACTGCCCTTCCAGGTCACAGCAGAGAGCTGGACTGGAAGAGGGGCAACCGGGACTAGAACCTGGCGCCCATATGGGATGCCGGCGCCGCAGGCAGAGGATTAACCAAGTGAGCCACGGCGCCGGGCCCCTCACTTGCTTTTTATTTGAGAGGCAGAAAGAGAGAGAAAGCTCTTCCTCCATCGCTGGGTCACTCTTCGAGTGGCCACAAGGGCCGGGGCCGGCTCAGGCCGACGCTGGGAGCTGGGAATGTGATGCAGGTCTCCCGGGGGCGGCAGGGCCCGGCCACTGGAGACGCCACTGCTGCCCCCAGAGTGTGCGTGAGCAGGAAGCTGCGGCTGGGAGCTGGGGCTGGGACTTGAACCCTGTCCTCAACCAACATTCTGCTGGCTGGGCTTTTGAAGCTTTCCAATTCATTTCAGACATTTAAATGGAGCCAGTTTAAGGTAGAACGCTGGGTGC